TTTACATTTTTCATATTGAAAATGAGTTGAATTCAATTGAAAATATCWATTCCCAATTCCCTTTGCATCCGTCGGTTTRAAGACAGAAAAGTTTTATTCATGGAACATAGGGATAAATTAGGAATAAGCTTTTCCTGATATTACCGTATTTTTTTCAAACATGCGGACATTATAAATTTCGATCCCGATGATGCCCGGACTAGAGAGGGTTGACTGTAGTCCTATGGCCATACGCAAGAAAGAAAGGTTCCCACAAAATTTTAATCAAAACTAGTTTATTTCTACACCAAATTCATTGAGAATGAACAATTACAGAGCATATTTATTRAGTAAGATAGTGACGTTAGTCATAGAATGCAACAACTTTGTCTTTGACTGAGTTGGATTTAGTAAATATTACCTGCCATACTAAGAAGTATAAGGATAACAGTAAGAAATACTATTAAAGTGAAGSAGTCATTTTGAGACGGCACGAATAAGACATGAAATCTATTGAATCAGGTAAAATTGTTCATTGTGCAATGATTAACGTATCTGGAAGGATAGTTTAATAATGGTGAATTMATTTGATTATTTTTGAAATCTTACGGATGTGTTGCCCGMRCACGGCAAATTATTAAATAACTAACCACGTAGCCTACGTTAACGTGATCTGAGGTTTACGTTTCGCAGCAGACACCTCCATAACCTCTCCTCAGCCGCCAWTTTGAAAACATGCTCTCAAAGCACGGTGGGACCCGATTTTCTAATTCCATAATGCATTTCAAGCATTCAATCGTTACAGTCTCACTGCGGATAAAGCAAACCGAGCAGGAGACTGTGGAAGGAAACTACCCTGATTTGACTGGACGAATACATTTTCCAACGTTTAAATTTAGAATTCACTTGATTTTCAATCGATTTATCCGCCYARTAAGACGACTCCAGGAGGATCTGCTAAGTAGAACAAGTCAATAATCGTCCAGATTAGACGATCYGATCTTCTTAAGTGTAAACGAAGAGCCTTTTTTGAACCAGTTTCCTCAGAGGAAAGTTGTTATTAATTATGTTGAATTATTAATTATATTGAATTTATAAATTATCCGAAGTGATCACGTGTGCTTAATACCTAATATACATATATTTTTTATACAGCCTTTTGCAAAAATTATGAGAATTGTCTAAATATCTAAATATCATAATATCCATATCCATATATTGTCTGGAACACGCGGGTTTGCTAGAATAATTCATTGTTGACATCGAGAAAATTTTCAGAACTACGGATAAGTCTGTCGCCAAAAAAAAAACTAAACTACAAAGACAAGGGACTAAGGGCATCTCGCGGGATTACCCATCATGCACTTGATATTATGATATTTAGATATTTCAACAATTCTCATAATTTTTGCAAACGGCTGTATTGATAAATTTATTAGTAGTACTTAATATGGAGGCGAGTGTCAAGTAGTTTTGCTTGTCTATATGAAATGTGAAAAAGAAGTTCAAGTTTGTAAGGAGCTCTACGGGCTTAAAAMGTTTTTGCTTGGCAAAAAAATGAGGAAGTTACCTCTTGAAAACACCTCCATATTAAAATATACACCACGGCATACAACCCTTAAAGAAACCAAAAATAGATTATATCTCATATCTAAACCAAATCTATATCGTAAAAATAATAATTCATTTTGCATTGCTGTCAAGCTAGTTTGTTTTGGATGATTGTCTGTTTAGGTGTCTGTCCCATTTAGACCGTCTGTCCGAMTATATATAAATCGAGACCCGTTCTAAGTAGCAACGCTCTTAAATGGTATAATTTTATGTTGGCTTAAAAATACAAGAAAGCAGAAAGCCTGCGTATCATTACAAACTAATCCCAATTTATCCCATAGTCTGATTAAACTTGMATGCAGTAAATAAACATGCAAAAAAAATCGAATCTTTAAAATTATGTACTCATTTGTCATTAGAGATGTGCAATACAGTTCTATTAACGYAGTTCGTACCAAAGTTTGTCGMTTTTKATYCCTGYCTTCACTTTGTCRCTTMTCTATCGGCTTTTTCTTAGGTTTTCAAGCAAATTTCCTGCCAAAAAGTTCGMATATTCTATTGAGTACCGAAGAGATCGATCCACATTTTACYAAAATATAGTTTTAATTTTAGCCACAAACTTTGATACGAACAACCAAAATGATTTAAAAGACCTGCTAGGCCGGTATCTATACCCAAGACCAATGTAGCCGCTACTTGACAGCATTTATTTAAAGTTATTTGTCATATTCAAGATCGTCCATTTTTTCTTCCAAGTTGTTAACGACACACTTGTACAACGCATTTACTTGTTCAACATTCCGTTTGCTGAAGCCAATTCTCTGGCCAAACTTTCTGTCCTTTGCATTCCCGTTATCCTCGATGTCAACCAAGGTCGGTTCTCCATTTTTGGTAAAAGCGCTGTTGTGGTAATGGAGGACAGACTACAAGCAAAGAGTAAAGTTTAGATTAATGATAAAAGCTTATTTTTATTGAAAACCATGGTTTCTAAGCACACGCTTTCGYTAGCAACCACTGTGTTGATTTTGTGAGMTAGTTCGATGCCGAAWKKA